ATCAGCTATGGATGTGAAGTACTCAACATGTGTGAAGTACAGTATGACTGGCACAAAGCTCATAAAGACAAAGTTTGCACCACCTACAATGGTCAGAAACAGAGCCGCCTCTCCAAACTTGGCGCTGCCCAAGACGAGCTTGAAAAGCACCTAAGGAATAAAAACAAGACCAGGTCAGATTCTTTTTCTTCGTCTGTGAATTGGTTCATTTAATTAATTAATTTCAGTATGCTAATTCATATGGAATGATCACAGTATGCATATTTTACTTGTTCTGTTTTGTAGCAAAATACATATTTGGTTAAATACTGCTCATTTAGTGTTAGTTTTATTAGTTATATATGACTTTATGTAACTACATTAGCACACTACAGATTCAAAGCAACTTCCCCAACATTGGCCAGAGTAAATATAGAAAAGAACATGGTTTTATCTTTCAAACGTCAGAAGATGTGGGTATAACATGGCTGGTTTCTAGCTCATGATACGTTGGAAATATTAGCCAACTGATGAGCTAAAACTGATCTTTCTGTCCAGTTCCCTTATTGATCTGTCCTTTTCAGATGACCGCAGGAGTTGAAAGTACATCGCAAATCAATCAAGACTAATAGATTAGTGAGGTCATTTTAATTACAGAAAACAAGGCACTCCCAGGACACCTCACTCCATGACTATGTAAAGAGATGCAGTTATTGATAAGTATAGTTTCAATGACACAAAACCGAATGACATGACTGAACTGAAAAGCATCTGATGAATAACGAAAGGGTCATGACTGTTGAAGCAGGGTTACCTTATAGAGGGCAGAGGCAGATGCAGAGGCCACTACAAGCGTTATGCCGATAACAGAGTGACTGTGAAAGCCATCAGCGTAGGTCAGCATCACGATTCCAGCGATGGCCAGAATGGCAGCAACAATCTTGTAACGGAACAAAATAAAGGTCATTGCATTCACAATGTGTTATGTCAAACAACACAAATATGGCATGTAGAGAGAGAGAAAGAGGCTTTGAGACATTTTAAATATAACAGGGTTAGTACAAAACATGATTTTAAACAAATTGTGGATCAAGGGCTAAACGATCTAGACAATAATTTCTCATGTTTTAGGGAAATTGTTTTAGAATGTGATCAATACAACCACTTAATTAGATTATGAATACTTTTCTATCAGAGCAGATCATGTCCCTCAGAGAATATTGATGATTGAAGTAAAAAGAGATTGATCACCAACCTCTTTCATTGTTCATCTTTCTTGTTATTTCTCTTTTCATACACACATAATGAGAATTCAAGGAGAATGACTCTGGCATTATATATGATGAAACAGGCCTGCTTCATAGAGTGTGTGTGTGTGTGTGTGTGTGTGTGTGT